TTCAAACAGGAGGTTTGGATCCACTTTCCCCAAGAGATCGTTTGAGCTTCTCACAGAGAAAGGGATTATTCTCCATTACGACCCGTTCAAGTACTGCAGGAAATCTGAGTGGCAGTCAGTTTCTCCGTTCACCAACAATCAACCGCTTCCTGGGTAAACCCTGTTCCGCTCTCCACCGAATCAGACAAACACTGGAACTACAGCACATAGACAGGAGTCAAGGATTCAACAACTTCACTGGAAACGTGAGTCGGCAACCAAATCCTCTTCAAGTTCACGAGTCAAATTCCCCACTGAGCCTGAACTAACCGCTGTGTCTTCCCCTGACTTATCCCTCTGTTTAACTTCTTCAATAAAACCCGTTAAACCTTTTCCCTGGTCTCTCTGAATTGGTTTCTCTGCATGTGGGTCTGAGCTTTAGATAAGATCATGACACCTGGGCTGCCACTCATCAGCCCTATAGTGACTAAAACTAATAGTTTTCATCCTGAAGACTAAGACCAAAGAGGACAAAGTTGGCTGTCAAAATCAAACACTGCCTGTCTGCACTTGGGTGCTACTACAAATCCACACAACATGGCAAACACTCTCTCTCACCCAGACTGCAGAGGAGGAGGTAAAACTTTGCTCGCAGGTTTTCGGACGTTTCCAGCACTGCTGCGGACGGTTTGTTGGCAGGAAACGACAAACCGCTGCTGTCCTCCTGGAAACGGGTCTGAAGCGGCTTCTTTGGATCTTTGAGAGAAAGAAACAAACACAATGTTCAGTCTAAAACGGAAAGGTGGCTCACACTTTAACTGATCATAATATGCTGCATATAATGTTTTCAGTCAAAGAGGAAATCCTGGAGAACAGAATAAGATAAGAGGAGAAATTAGGAAACTAGCATAAATATATATTTTTTTTTAGTTCTCTCTCAGATTATTCCTTTTTATTGACCTTTAATTCCTCCGTGTTTGGTTCTGAGGACCCCCAGCTCCTTTTCTTCTGCCCTCCAGAGCTGCAGCAGGACTCTGGGAGCCGTTTGACCGCCATCGTCCCTCCAGCTCAGCACCTGAGGCCGAGCGTTCGGATTGTTGCAAAGATCCAGCAGGGTAGAGAGGATGATGCTGTGTATGCATCTGGGACTGGCTTGGAGTAAATCCAGCATCAGAGATGCTCCTCCTTTTTCTAAAAACTGATATTCTGTGGTGCAGGAGCCGACGACGCAGGACCTGATGGGAGACACGGAATCGTTAAGGAGGTTCAGATGGTCTGACTTTCAGAGCAGATTGAGGAAATAGGTCAATCTTCCACACTGAGGCAGCAACTTTAGATGTGACGTTAAAAGGTTTAGAATATTATACTCATTATAATTACTAAACTTTACGTTTTAAATGTTTTTGTTTACAGATTTTACACTTTAAGCCCATCACAAACACGACGCCCACACTGACCAATGAAAGACACCTCTAGAGGTGGTTTTATGAATTTTTAAAAAGCAGTTTAAAAATTCATCAAACTCAATCTTAAAAACAGAAATTTGGAAAAATGAATTTAGAAAAAAACTACAAAAAACACCAAAAAAAAAATGTAAAAAGAAATTAAAAATAAATTGAACAAATGAAATAATTTTGAAAAAAAAACTGAATCTCAAAAAACAGAAAAGTCACTTTCAAAACCTTTTTTTCATTAAAATAAGTTTTCCAATGTTCATTTTCTGAAATTCCAGTTTTTTGGTTTGTTTTTTTCATTTACAAAATGTATTATTTGCTTCCAACAGCAATGGATGAAAACTGTCATGATTTTCTTTGTGAGTTTTCCGTTACAATTTGATTTGTGTCATTCTGTGTTTTCCTGGTTTCTTTTCCATTTTGTATCATTCTAGTTGTTTCTGAGTTATATTTAAACATTGTTGTATTTACTGGGTTACTCTGTTTCCCCCTTGTGCCAGTCTCATTTCCCCTTAGCTCCCTTCTAGTTGCTTCTCTCCACACCTGCTCCCTATCAGCAGATTATCCCGTTCTTTGTTCTGTCTCCCATATATACACCTGCTTTCCACTTCCTTGTAGCTGGATTCTCTTCATTACTTCAATCCTTACGTATGTTTCTCCCTGGTGTATCCTAGTTTTCGTTTCCAGTAGTGACGGTTAACGAGGCATCTAGAAGCTTTGGACTCATTGCCAAACTGTATACTGACACCTGCTGGTACTTTAAAGACACTACAGGCGGCTTATTTAACAGACTAAACTGAATCGATTTGATGATCTAGTACAATGATATCATTGAAGTTATTGTAGATTTAGATTTAAATTCAAAATATCTTTGATATATTTAGATGCAGCTAATAAATAATGTAAACATATATCATGATGAGATAATTTAGGGGTGTGAATGAGGATGCTTGTGGACTAGGATTTAAAATAATTTTTTTTTAAAACAATAAGTACAGTAAAAACAGTAAATAAACTAAGAGTCAATTTGAAATTAACTTTAATTTAGATAAGTTGAGTGATAACTGAGAGGAAAAGGATGACACAACGAGAAAATGTAAATAAAAACGCAACGGCAGAAACGTTCCTACCCCTTTCAGGCTGCTCCAAAATTCTTGATAATTTTAATGATAAACCGCAAACGATGAGACTATTGTTTTTTAGCAGATACATCATGTTTACAGATACTTTTTAAAAACAGTTTAATGAGTCAGTCAGTTCCTGTATCGGTCACATGACTTTTTTAAATGACACGCGCACCGATGCAGTGTTTTACTCTATGGGCTCCATTCATACACCGACGCATCTGTGTTGCTGGACTCATCACTAGTTTTTAGTTTATTATTCCTGGATTTGTGCGTCTGTTACCATCTACATCTAAATTAAATCACCTCTACATTTGGGTCCTCAACTAACTTCCACCAAACCGACAAAAATTCACTCCATAAATTTCAGAAACAAACAGGCACCTCTGTGAAGCTTCTGAGCCCCTTTTCTTCCTTAAATCCCTTGTGTTGCTACTTTTTTCTGGTTTAAATCTAAGAACTATCACAGAGAAGAAGTAATTTCTCAGCTCGATCATGAGCTCCTGAGCTCCAGCCCACATGAATTCAAGCAACGATTTCTACTGGTGTAAAACCCTTTGGGGTCGACATCGACATTATTACCATAGGTTAATATTTATTTATTTTGGACCTGTCATCATATATTAAACTGTTATTTTGATACTTTTTAAATGCTTTATTCAGCACCACTCTAGACATTCTGTAGATTTATTATAGAAACAAACTGTTTTGATGTATAATTCGTAGTTATGACCTTTAATTTGTCCGCAACTTACATCAGCGTTTGGCTGAGAGATCAATCACGGTGAGAGGTTTGCATCCATTCAAGCGTCTTTCTGACTAATTTGGAGCTTTTAATGTCAGAAACACCTGATAAACTTTTTCGTTTCATAGCAGGTGAAATGACGATGAAGGAGGACCTCCATAGTCTTATCCTCAAAGAAACAACTAGATGCTTGGAACTTTGACACAGAGGAGTGTCCAGATCAAATCTACCCTTTCTGCCAAGAAGACCGGTCCGACTTACTACCACAACGATACCAGAAGCCCGATGTTTGATCCCAGCAGTCTGTGGACAGGGTGTTATTATCTAATAATCTGTATTTCAGACTATATGAGTGGATCAGAGGTACAAGAAACAATTCCTTATGTTTAAAAATCACTGCAGCCATAAATAACTCCTGACATGTCTTCTACGAGGGACTGTATTTGCTTTCCAGCTGTGCTGTAGTTTGGCTGGACTGACCACACGCACTCCACCGTGGAGATCACCAGCTTGTTGTGTCCCAGAGTGCTGTAGAACTTCCCTGGACCTTTCTTCAGGAAATGTACGACCATCTCTACTCCCTCTGAGCCAAACAGCTCCTGCAAGACATCGTGAGAGTTGGTTTTATAGTGGTTTCAAGTTTCAAGTTTTTCAAGTTTCAACAATTTATTGTCATTGTCAAAAAAAAGGCAACGAAATTGTGTTTGGGGTACAATACTTAGTAGCAGCAAGTTCCAAGTAAAGTGCACAAGAGGTAAAAGTGACACCTAATTTAACCCAATTTTGCTAGTTCACACCTCCTGCCTACAATTAATCCACAAATACATAATTTTGCACCTATTTACACTGAAAAATCAACGTCATTTAACAGCGTTTTGCTTTTGCAGCAGTTTATATTAGATATCAATCATTCCCCTTCAAAGCTATTTGATCGATTAAAATTCACGTGTGAAAATTAAAGTGTTTGAGATGCGCTCATCAGTGAAAAAATGGAAGGAAAGCATATTAGTAACAAAAAATTTTGCATTATTTTAAACTCCAAACACACAGTGAAAGAAAACTTTGACCCAAAACGAGTGCATTTCTTTTTTAAAAGAACCTAATATTTAAGATGGGTCCTTCATGTTACAAACATCAAACAGTTCAGGTAGGCGACACATAAATGTTAATCAGCGTTAATCGGGTAAAATCCCTCAGTGTTTCTTGGTTTTAGCAGTACTGACACATCAGATCTCAGGTTTGATTTCTGAAAAGAAAAGGATGTGGAGTTTTAAAACTAACATCATCTTCTCTGGGAGGGGATCTTAATTTAAAGGGCAAAGAAATTCAAACTGAAAAGCACTTCAAAACAATCGCATTTCACAACAAACAATGAAAATATCACACTAAATGCTTGAAACTAGCGGTGTTACACAGTAAGCTAGTTTTAGTTACGGGTAAAAATCTAAGAAAAGGTGATGAACTGATGAACTGACCACGGCTTAAAGGTATACTATGCAACCGGTGCTGATTTTCCAGCGAGGCTCCCCCCAGAGGGCGAAAGTAAAAGTGCACTGTCGTAAATATGCTCAGCTGTTCTCCTGGTTTCTCCGTCAAGCCAGGCGCGGTTGTTTTGAGCTTAGCAGACAGGCGAACGCAACGAATCACCATGTCTACTGCGGTAAGTGACTATTTTGTTCCAATTATCGAGTTTGAAAATTTAGCATGTTTTCATACATTATTTGTTATGCATGTGTCTAAATAACAAAGATTGTAGTTAGCCAAGTTCTCGCCGTAAAGCAAGACCGACTCTCGCGATGCACGAGACTTCTGAGCCTGTGGGTGCGGGCCGAGGGCTCCTGCAATTGCAAGTACAGACCACCAGGGCGGCAGAGAAAACCTTTGTTCGACCTGAAATGACTCATTTAATCATCCAAAACAAATGTTGCATAGTGAGCCTTTAAAGCTAAATTCCTGCTGAGGGTCGTCCTGGTTGCTGCGTTTAGACGTTTGCAGGTTTCTGAATAGCTGATCTTTAGTCTTTTAGTCTATTTTTCCAAAAAATTTCTAAAAACAGGACATTTCTAATAATTATTCACATTTATTATAATATTTACACAGACAGTGTCTAAATCTCTTACATTTGTAAAATTTTATATTTTTAGTTCCTGAACTAAACACATTTTATATCATTTTGACACCTAAGCTCTTTTAATCAATGTTCAATACATTTTAATTTTAATTTTCCAGTTATTTATTTGTCTTTTCTTATATTTTTATTTTGTAAATTTGCTGTCTAATGTTTGATGTATTCTTCTAGATTGAATGACAATTTAAGGGTCTTTTTTTTTCTTTTTTGTTTCATGATTTTTTTCTTATTTATTAGTAATATTTTAGTTAACAGTTTTTATTTTTTTCCCCATGTTCATTATTTGTATTTTCATTTATTTTCCCCTGAGGGACATTTAAGAATATTTCCCCATATTTTTGATCAAACTAAATGTTTACCTTTCTGTTCAGGTCGTTCTCACACAGCACAGACAGGATGAGCTGGATATTGGACATGGTTTCCACGGCGATTACATCATCCTCACCAGAAAACGCGTCGATCAGGTTTAGGATCCCTGAGAGGGGAAACGCCACAGGTCTCTGACTGTAGTCATGTTTGCGCTCTACATTTTCCTTACAGGTGAAGCAGAAGTTACCCAGCAGCTGGTTGATGGCTCCCTGATCGCAGAGGTCCTGCTTTACAGCTTCTTCTTCCAGAGCCGTCACAGATCGCAGGATTCTGATGCAGCGCTGCGTCTGGGTCATCCTGCTGCCACAGAGTTCAGGCTCTGGATTCAAGAGGACAGAAAAACAAGAAGATATCTAATCATAGCTGAGCTTAAATCCACAGACAGAACTTGGAGGAAAAGACGCTTGCATGCAGGAAGGTGGAAGAAGTCTCAGAAGTTTTCAGCTGACCTTCGACGCACCAGTCCAGCAGCAACAGCAGGCGCGTATTTCCCTGACAGGACATGTAGTCCTGCAGCATGACTGGAGCGATGCAGGACAAGGCGTCCAATGCCTGCAGCTGGAGTTCTTCCTCCTGGAAGCCGAAGAAGATCTGAGAAGCTGGCCGGCGCTTCGGTGGCTTCACGAGCTGCAGCAGGTTCACCATGACATACTCCTCCCTGAAAACCTGAGGAGGGAGTTCAAAGTCATTCCTCTGAACAAACGAAGACTGTAACTGGGAGTGAAGCTGACCTGCAGAACAGCAACGTTCCTGCCCATCACAACCAGCAGATTCAACAGCAGCTTCATCATCCTCAGGTCAGGTTTCTCTGCTGCAGAGCTGCTCACTTAAAACAGACAGATTCCTTCCTTCTCAAAAGCTCAGTTTCACATTTTAAAATCTAATTGGAATCAGTGAAAAAAAAAAATATTAAAAAAAGATACTCACTCTCCGGAATTGTCATGAAGCCCAGAAGCTGTTTGGCAAATAAGCTTTCCTGGAAGTAGAAAGATATTTTAAGAAGAACTGTGAAGAATCTATGCAAGAGGATTAGGATCACAGAAAAAAAATTAAAACGTTAACTTATTTTTAAATATTATTTCAGTTTAATATGGCAAAAAAGTCAGAATTCTAACTTTAATCTCAGAATTCTCACTTTAATCTCAGATTGTTGGATGTTGCTGTGCACTATGAAGGAAGAGATGTGGAGCACTGTGCCTCACTGAA